CGGTGAGGGCATTCGCTTTTCCAATAATTGTTTTGAAGGTTGACAATTTTCCAATGCCCTCAAGTATCAGGTCAATAATATGAGCTGCACAACTGGTCCAAAAGATACTCGGCATCTTCTCCTTCAATTTCTCCTTTGTTGCAATATTTGCAGAAGCATTATTTGTGATAACCTGTATGACCTTCTGTGGCCTAATCTCCTCAATGCATGCATCCACCCACTCAAAAATGTATTCCCTTGTGTGCGAGTTCCTGGAGCACTCAATCGACTTATAGAAAGTTGTGCCTAGCCTGCTTTGAGTGCACAAGTTCATGTTCGACATCATCTTCCTATTTGACCAGGCATCTGTCATGATAGAACAACCACTCTTCCCCACTCCTCGTGCTCCTTCAATGATTCCCTAGTCTCATTCACAACACCCCTCAACAACGGCTCCCTCAACATATACATGCTAGGCGGTCGGTAGGTACGTCTATAATCCCCAGTAGCGCTGCACATTTGCATAAAGGAGTTGGTAGAGAGGACATGAAAAGAAATGTTATTCTCATATGCCCATCTAGCAATATGCTTGTGAACCCAATCTCTCTTCTCTTTCGTATAAGCTTCCTTAACTCCAGGCTGAATCATCTTTCCCTTCAGTCTTTTTGCTAGCTCGGGATCACTAGCAGTATAAGCATCCATTGGCCTAACGGTTGGCTCTCTAGACCTCTTTGAAGATTCGCCCATTGTATGTGTAGAAGAGACAACTTCCTCTCCTTCAATAGTCATTAGATCCAGCTTGTCGAACTTTGCTTCATCTTGCAACTCCATCATATGCATTTCGTTTAGTTTCTTCCTCCTGGAATTAACATACATAGCTTCTTGGATCTTCTTCCTATCAACAGCCAAAATTTAGTGCATTTTATGCAATTGTTTCATCTGCTGGCAAGATGCTGTTTCAATCTAAAGACCTCCCTTTCATGTTGTGCGAGCACAATTTACATTGCATCAAACACAATTTAGTTGGATCTGGAAGAAACCAAACTCCCAACCGATATCTCCCAAATTTCTTTTATCTTTCACAGGGGCTTTCGCGGAAATAGAGGTGGAACCCACAGATTCCTTGAAGGAATATTCGACATTCTATATCATAACAATTCAACGAACAAATCATTCATAGATCAAATCATCAAATCATGACAAATAAAAGATTCAAATAAATCACATAACTTGATCATTTATTAAGTATTAACATCTATTTGGTCTTCTCTTCTATAAGACTATATGTAAAATTGAACAAGATTTTAATCTTAATTACTAATTAAATAGATTAACTGAAATTAACTAAATTGAACAAAATTTGAACTAAAATTGAACAAGATAAAACTAAAATTAAAAAATATTAAACTAAATTAACTAAAATAAAACAAGATTAAAATGAAATTAACTAAAATTATCTACAATTAACTAAAATTCAACAAGATTAAACTAAAATTAAGCAAGATTAAACTAAAACTAAATTAAACTAATTAATTAAATTTAATTGAACAAAATTAACTATTTAACTTTAAAAAACAGTTCATAAGTGAAATTTTGTTCTATAACAGTAAATAAGCTTAAAAAACAGTTTAAAATAAACAAGTTATTGGGGCAATAAGTTTACTTATGGATAGAATCCGATTTTGGATATGCTGATGGTGAATCCATCCGCGGGTGAGAAAATCTTACCTGAGGGTCTGCGGGAGGTGGTCCGGTGACGGCTGCAGGCAGTGTTTTAAATGTTGGCCGATACGTCGGCATTTCGGATTTAGGAGCCAATCGACACGATATTGAACTTTCCAATACGTATTGCGTTTTTAGGGTTCGTGTCGGATATATCGGGGCAAGGTTTTAAATGTCGGTTATCGGGAATTTATCGGACAGTCAAAATCCTTATCGGATAGCGGAAATCGGGGATATATCGGGGATAAGTAGTATTTATCGGAGTAATATACTAGCAAATAATAAACAAACATAAGCTTGAAAAAAATATAATGTTAGTCAAAATGGAATAATAAACAAACAAATAATAAGATAACATAAAAAATGAAGAACCATCTACGCATCTACATAATTATTGTTTAATCATGAAATTCATAACTAACTTACTAAGTTGATATTTAGTAGTTATGAGTCATTATCAATATCCATAAACAAACATAAGCTAATCATCAATCAACCAAGTTCCAAAAGCAACGAACAGTTCATAATTTGTAAACATTCAAAGAGCAAATCCAAAAGAAAGTAAAAGCTCCCAAATCCTACTTATCGGCCGATAAAGCCGATAATTAGAGCCTACTTATCGGCCGATAAGTGCCTTTATCGCCAATAACTCGCCGATAAACCTCAAAAAACGATAACCGATTAAAAATCCTACTTATCCTAGCGGAAAGCTCCCAAATCCGATAACTCGGCGATAATATCGGATTATCGGCCGATATTTAAAATCATGTATCGGGGAACATGTCGGATATGTCGGACGGATATATCGGGGGACATGTCGGATATGTCGGTCAATTTTCCAGTCTGAAAAATTAGCTGATTTTTTTAATTATGTTTATCTAATCATGTTTGGTCTTAAATTCTTGTTTGTCTTAATATCAATGTTTTAAATATCGGTTGATAAACCGATATTATCTCCGATTTATCGGGTTTGGAGGGCTTTCGCTATGATAAGTTTAATTCTACCGGTTATCGTTTTTGGATGTTTATCGTTGATAATGCAGCGATAAAATGAGTTATTGGCTGATATTATCAGTCCAAAAATCAAAATTATTGGTCTTTAGTTTGAGATTTGATTTCGGGCAACGGACACCTATTCAATGCACTAACCCAAGTTTCTACCATTGGTTAGTAATCCTAAACATAATTATTTATCACTGTTATAAATAACGGTAAATAGCCCCACAATAGCGGCGCTAATAGAGTTAGCGGTCCATTCCCACGATGCTATCGCCCATTACGCTATCGCGCAATAGCGGTGACATATTACGGAATATGTCTGTTCACAAAAGCGACCAATAGTGTGTCATAACGGTAAATAGTGAGCGATTGCATTCAAAATTTACTTTTTGACTGCTATTTAAAAGCGGTTTGAGGCTTATTTTTTTAAATTAAACTCAACCCTTGATCACTGCATTCCACCGTCTCCTGTGATTTTCAGCATACTCCCGTCATCTCTCATAGCCTCTATTACCTACCTTGATACTTTCCCTCACCTCCTTCACCGTGAGCTCCTCTTAGGACAGTCTTGTCACCGCTAAGCTCTTCTTTTCGAAGACGACGATTTTTTAACTCATCCAGTCATCTTCGGTATTACGTGATGGTTACATGTCCATTTCATGTTTAGGATCTCTTTAAATCATCCAATATGTACTTTTAGATTTCTTAGATTTTTTTTATTTTTTTTAGTATTTATACATATCTAAATTAGACCGCTATTTGACTTTGCGCTTTTTACCATTATTTTACCGTAATAGTTCGAAATAGTCTTAGCGATGCCTCACCGCTACGCGACGCTATCCGCTATCGACGATCTTGTTATTTACATTTTGGTATGTTTATATTTCATTGAGTACGGTTAGATTATATTTTAGAATATTATATTATGTATATCACTATCTGGTAATGTCACTCCAATAAATACTACTTATCCACAATATATCCTCAATATTCGCTATCTGATATGGATTTTGACCGTTTGATAAATCTTCATTAACCGATATTTAACTTCTTGCTTAATATTGCTTGACAAAACCTAATCAGTTAGGGGAAATAGGAAAAAAGACCGAAGTCATTTTCGTCGCTCATCTTCTCTCTCCTTCGACATCTCATCAGTCTCTTCTCCAAGCTATTCCTTTGATATCAATATCGGACGATCTTCTCTCTCCTTAACCGCCAACATCGGACTCCTCTTTTTTCACATCTTTCCTTTAACATCAACCTAAGCATCATAAGTTATTTTCTTTTTTATATGTTTAGACAATAGAATTTATTAAGTATGTTTAGATTTCATTTATAATTTTTATATTACACATATGCACATCAGCCAATATGAAAATCCGATATTTTTTTCATGTCCCCGACGTATCCCCAATTTTTACTATTCAACATAAAATTTAGCCGTCTGATATGAACCCGACATCTGACATTTAAAACATTGGCTGCAGGATAGGATGAGAATGTGAGAGAGAGGGTGAGACTGAGAGAGAGAGAGAGAGAGAGAGAGAGAGAGAGAGAGGTGGCTATGAGTGTGAGATAGAGAGGGGGAGAGAGAGTTAGGCAAGCATTAGGTTAAAATTTGGTTTGGGAATGAGTTTCGGCTAACGGGTACAGATTTAATATTTAATTTTTTTATTTCAGAAAGCTAAGCGGTCCACTTAAGCGGGCTACCTAGCCCTAGGCGGTGCCTAGGTGCTGCGTAGGCGGAGCGGCCGCCTAGTCTGGCCCCTTTGGTCGAAACTGGGCAGCGGCGGCTCTGCCTATGCAGCGGCCGCCTAGTCTGGCCCCTTTGGTCGAAACTGGGCAGCGGCGGCTCTGCCTATGCCTAGACAGATGCCTAGGCCGAGTTCTGTAACACTGGAAATTCCCAAGGGTTTCAATACGATTCACCAGTGTCTCGTATTAATTATAGACAAACCAACATTTTGGAATTTTTGTAAAGTTGCTTAATTTTTTGCCCCTTGATACCTGATTAAAGACATACCAAACTCATTGAGAATTTTGTATTTAGATTGCTCATGTGTCTTACATCACATCAAGCAGTATGGATTTTCAATTTGGGGATAAAAAATTTAGGTTTGGATTGGTAATATTTACTTTGTGAAAATTATATATAGTTAGTCAAATTGAGTTTACATTAAAAATACTAAGCTTATGGTGGAGAATGCAATCTCATCATGCTGATTTATCTGTTGTACTAGAGTACTAGTGTAGACCCTTTTTTTAATGATTGACATAATTCTTGTTCCCTGTTGGTCTAGGTGTTTAATGCTGGAAAGAATAAACTTCGGAAAATTGATGAAATCAGCGCAGTTACGAGTTTGAGAGCATTAATCTTGAATGGTATCTTATTTTACTTTTTTTATCTCTTCCTCACTGATTAAAAATCATTTCTAGCCTGTTTCAGTGGATATCATTGTTATATTTTTATATATTCTTGATATCTTTAGCATTGCTAACTATCTGCTTGATTTTCCTTTTGTAGATAACAACATATCTTCCATTTGCAAACTTGATGAGCTTACGTACTTGAATACACTTGGTAAGGCCACATAATCTTCTGGCGAAGTTAATTCTATTTACCTTTGTAATATGTCTGATACATATTTAGCTACGAACTATCTTTCTTGGAATTTTCATGAATTTTCTGACAGTCCAAATTTTTTAATGCGAACCGCTATCACTGATAATTCAGATTCTTTTCGTCCTTTTTTGGTGGTTTTTTTTGGGGTGGGGGGTGGAGGGGAGGTGGCGATTGTTCCTCAAGGTATTTATCTGTTGCTAAGAATGATGTACCCCTTTGCCAGGAATAAGGTTTAGATGAGGAAACAACCTAACGTAGAATGTAATATGAAATTGCAAATATAAATCTTATAACATTGGGAATAATTATTTATGCTGAACTTTAAGCTAGCGCTTAATGGTGTATGGTTTATAAGTGAATTTTGTGAATCTCGTGAAGTTGTTGATACTATATGACCATGAGTTTTCAGTCATCTAAACAACTGAGTAGGACAGGATATTGTGTACCTATCAATTTTGTAGGTTACTCCTCACTGGTGGTTGCTCATGTATGTGTGTGAGAGTAAAGATAAAGAGAGAAGGCAGGAGGGAGGGAGGGAGGGAGGAGCAAAGGAACAACTGAAATAACATGAGCTCCTACTATTGATAATACATTTAAATATGCAATACTATATCTATTCTAGCAGGTTTTAATCACCCACTCTGCTTTTTTGCCAATCACATTTTCTGTCATATCTTGATTACATCAACTTTTTGGGAAAATTGCTTCTTGCCCCCTACCTTCTGAAAAACTTGCTCCACCTACGAAAGTTGTGTCATGCTTTCGCTCCTGGACACAAAAACCCACATATTTTTTTTTAAAACCCCTGAACATCCTTGTCTACCTTTTCACCTTCTCTCTTTTCCCTCCAAATTCCCATGGACCGATGTCATAATGAACCTATATTTGTTCCCTTAATATCCACCTACAGCTGCCTTTGCCTTTTCCCTCCACCTCCTCTTCACTGTTCAAGATCCCCTACGCTGCTTCCCTTCCCTTTGCACCCCCTCACAATGAAGCAGTGGTGGGCCCTAAGAGCAGCCGAGGCAAAGGGAGGATGTGGGCAACCTCAGAGTAGAGTTTGGCAGTGGGCTGTGGCAAAGTTATGCACAATGTATAGCTAAAGGTGAAAGAGTTCAAAATAAGTTAGACAACAACGGTAACAATTAATAGATAAAGGTGTCGAAATTTTACACAGAGTAACTAATGATAGCTAAACGTGACAAAAATGTGCTAAAAGTAACAAGTTAAAGACAATGATGAAATTTATAGCTAAAGGTGAAATAGTATTAAACAAGGTAGACACAAAGGTGACAATTAATAGCTAAAGGTGATAAGATTCGACACAAATAATAGCTAAAAATTTCAAAATTATGCTAAAAGTTAAAAAAATAATAATAAGGCCCAAAGGTAACAATTAAAAGCTAAAGGTGACGAAATCCACCGCCTCTATCATCACCTCACCAACAACCTCTCCTCTGCCGCCACCTTCCTTCATGCTCGCCTCTCTTCGGGGCCCATCACTGCAAATCCCACTTCGTCTGGTGGCGTCGGAGGGAGGGTGGACTGTTACGGTGATGGAGGGAGGAGTGAGCTGGCGGCAAAGGAGAAGAGGTTGGCGGCAAAGTGGAAGAAATTGTGGTTGAGGGAGATGGAGAGAGGGTTCATGAGGAGATGTCAGAGAAGAGAGGCTGAAGATGATAATGTTGCAAGGGTACTTAAGCTACTTTAAAAATGCATGTGAGAACATGGGGTGAAAATATGATATTTTGGGTCCAAGGGTAAAAGTTGTAAGGCCTTTTAATGGGTAGAAGGCACATTTTTTGAAGCCAGGACGGTGGGGTGGAAGCAATTTTCCCAAAATTTTTGAATGTTTATATTACTTGAGGCTTTGAACTATTCCTTCCAAAACTTTAAATCAATTTGACAGCCAATATGTGCCACTTCTTAAAGATTGAGGAAATAATATTTACATAATCGCGATCATAGCTTCATCATAGCTTCATATATCCTGCACAAATAGCAGAGCTTTCTGGAGCAATTTAAAAACAAATCTTATTGATCATGCTTCATTTGATTATATTAATTTCATTCTCCTTACCCTGTCCATTTTGCATTATGTTTACGTCTTGATTTTAACTTGGAATTCTTTCTAAATTTTGAAGGATATGTATCTGTGAATAGTTGAATGTTGTTGTGCATGATTTTTCAACCTATATTATTTCTTCAGAGCTATTTGAAGTTTTAATGCAGTAAATCATAATATTGCTAATGAGAGTGCTTTCCAACAAACCGTATTTAAGAGATTACTTTATTTGTTTTCGGGCTTCTTCTGTACAGTTCTTTCTAAAAACCCAATTTATGATATTGGCGATTCTTTGATGAAGGCAAAATCTCTCAGAAAGGTAAGCATTGTTAATTGACAGTTTTGCTATCTGCTCCTTTATTTGTATGTATCTCATGGCAGATACATAAGGTGATGAAGTACTAATGCTTTCTACTAATTGTTTGTTTAGTTGTCCCTCTCTCATTGCCATCTCGAAAGGATTGGATCTTCCCTCACATCATGTGTTGAGCTGAAGGAGCTACGACTTGCTCACAACAAGATCACTGTAAGTGCTTGGTGGAAATTGGATTTATGTGTGTGTACATACATACATATACGCTTGTTGATTTTGAAATGTTTTTGTTTTTTTGGTGATTGAATTTTTTTCCATCTTTTAATTTTGCTTCCGAGTATTATTCATATCTCAGACCATCTCAGCTGAATTGGCACGGAATATTAGACTTCAGAATTTAGATTTGGGTAACAACCTGATAGAGAATTTCTCAGAATTGAAGGTATAGAACTGGGAACGCTCTTAAATGTAGTATTTTTTTTAAATTAGTAAACCTTGAATTTTTATTTTCTGTATACCTTCAATTAAACAATACTATGCTACCAATCACCTAAATTACAGGTGCTTTCTTCGTTGCCTAACTTGAAGAATCTCAACTTCCAAGGAAACCCTATTGCACAGAAGGATAAGTTGGCAAAGAAGGCAATTCTTTTGCATTGTTATTTAACTTCTCACGTTTCTTTTTAACTTGTATACACAGCAAAATAATAATAATAATAATAAATATTTTCCCCTCATATAACTGTGTTTCCAGGTTAAACAGTTAGTGCCCAATTTGAGAATATTCAATGCAAAACCTACAGAAATTAACAAGAGAAAAAAGTTCTCTGAGGAGGACAAAAGTGATCAGTCTGAAATCGAAGCTGATGAGCAAGTTAAGAGGAAGAAGTCTAAGAAAGATGTCAAGATCCTGGAGAAAAATATTTCAAAGTCATCCTCTGAGGAAGACCATCTCCTTTCTAGTCTCAGTGCTTCTAAACTTGAAGATAAGGAAGGGAAGAGAAAGAAGTCGAAGAAGAACGCGAAGACCTCTGATAAACATATTTCGAGTGGGTCTATTGCTAGTGATGAAGTTGGAGAAGAAAAAGGGCGGAGAAAATCTAAGAAAGAAGAGAGGGAGAATAGCAGGGAATTCGAGAAAGAAGAGGTTCTGTTGTTTCCGGATATCAATGATTTAGAGAAACTGCCCGTTGATCCTCTTGACTATAAAAATTCTGAGGATACAGACAGGGAGAAGAAAGGCCAAAAAGTGGCTCGTGGTGAGAAAAAGGCCCATGGTCTGGTCATCGAACATAAGAAAGGAAAAAGAACAGATCTTTCCGCATCGGTGGGGATCTTGACACCAAGCTTAGATGTTGGACTGGGAGGGCCATCAACTTGGGATGTCTAGGGCTTTGTCGTCCAGGTAATTTTGCTTGTTTTTGCTCTAATCTTGTTTGAGTAACACTGAACTTTTCTTAAATTATATGGAGCTTGTACTTCGCTATTTATTTACTTGTCCGCCAAAGCATCTGATTCTTGGTATGTTACTACTGTACAATAAGCCTATAGGACTGTTAGAAGAACTAGAAGAGGAGTTGGCAAATGGGTTTTGACGAATTCTCCTTTTAAGCTCTTGTGTTTAGTCTGTGTTTAGTCTGTTCTTGATATGGATGTCTCTCAAATGAAAGTCACTCAAAAAATTTAGTGTACAGGTGGAGTGGCTTAAAAGTAGGGTTGGCAAATGGGTTTGGCCGGGCCACGTTGGGTCATAATAGGCCCTATCATATAGGCTTGACCCGACCCGACCTATTTAATAAACATGTCTTTGAGCCATTTATTAAACGGGTTATCTGATCTGATCCATCTAAACCCAAATGACCCGTTTATCATTGCACATATAGCTGATTATGACTTTTCATTGATGCAATCACTCGCAGGGGTCTTCGTTGCAAATGAAAGTAGGATATTTGTTGAACGGTAAGAAAATGAAGTCAAAGAATATACTTTCAAATGGGATTGGATAAATACAACTGTTCAAATATCCTAGTATCATATCTTAACAATAAGAAACTAGGGGTAAAACTAATGAAAAAGAAATTAAGTTGCTTATAGAAAATTTCACTAAATACATGTTAACAATTTAACAATAAATATCACTACAAATCCTCCCTCCCTCCCTCTCCTTCTCCCTCCTATCCCATGCCCCAAACCAGCCGAAACAAACCCAAAAAGAAAAAAAAAGAAAAAGAAAACAACCAAAACCTTAGCTAGGTTGAACTTGCAACAGATTCAGCACCTTTAACAATCACTATATCAATTCATAGTCAACAATTCCAAATATACCAAGATTTCTCCAATTGCGGCCTTAAAACAAAAGTAGGGAACCATAGAAGGAGAATCGTATTTTTAAAATCAAATACGAAATCGAATCAATGGTTGAGCTCTCAAACAGGAGAAAGATTCAAATTTCATGTAGACAACAGTGACGAAATAAGAAAAGAAGGAAAGAATGAACATCAAACACATAGATCAGTCAACCCACAAAAAGATTTAAAAAATAGTTTAACCAATTTGAATGAATCAAAAAGTTCAGAAAAGAGTAGATCTCAGATTACAAAGAATAGGATCACACCCATCAAAGTTAAATGAAAAATTGAGAAATTATTTG